GACGACATAAACGTCGTCAAGGAAACCAAAAATTGCTTCCCCATCCTGCAAGAGCCCTTCGGTTTCGCGCAATGCTGGCTGGATGGCTGAAGAGAACAGGGCGAGTCAATACTTGTACAAAAACTACTGTTTAAATGACTTCAATTACTACTAATAAGAAAGTTTGTTGTGAAAAATCAGCGCGATAACAGTAGCAATAATATTGACACGAATCGCACGCATAGAACGACTCATACGACTTGTACATAAAACAAGGCACCAGCAACGTCAATACGTAGTAAAACTTTGTAGAACTAAAGAACATCACCCTTTTTGCATCGGGGACTCAGTTCCCTGCCTTGCCTGGCTAACTCCATCCTCATTGCTAAGAACATCCTCCCTCAAGTTCGGTCCCTTTGAGGGTTTACATTAAGAGTATGCAAAAGTTACAACACAAGACCTAGAGAGTTCAGAAAAACTGCAGTGGTACATGTTTTTGAAGCTTACAGGTCTGGGCTAAGTCCCATTACGAGACATTGATGTTATCGACAACAGCATCTATGAAGGACTACTGAGTACTGACTACTGTAGGGACTGTTACCTGGCAATAACTTGGGCTGTTCCCTCCCGGCCACCAAACCCTGTTCATGTCAAACCTCCACGGCTTTCTCTGCCATCCGCCTGCGAGAACCAAGAAAGACATGTTCACAACAGCAAACGCATTTTGGATCCTGAGTTTGACTCGGCTTGAAAGACACAATTGACAGCAAAAGGCAAAGTTGCTGTGTCTACGTGCAAAACCAAAAGGGCGGCAGCTGAAAAGAAGTTTCGCCTCGTCAGGAGGTCGCTGGGCTGCGGCAGGCGGTCAAAGACATGCCAGAACTCCTGTCAGCTAAAGGGTGAAAACTAATCTGCGTGCCAAGTAGACCTTTAAACTACCTCTGTGACAAAAAAGCGAGAAACGACTCCCTGTTGTTCCTCGGCTTGTTGGCGTATACCAAACCATTATTTAGTCGAGCCATACTGCTGTACTAAGGGTGGTGGCGGTTGAACTGAATGAAGCCCATGGCCTCCACCGTGGCTACTGACGCAATCCTTGGCGGCAGCTCACCACACATCCCCTCTTCCCAACAATGGTCGCAACAGCTATGAAAAGTGACAGGCATTGTTGCTATCTTCGGCTTGGAGCGGAACTACCCACATTTTCAGAACTATCGTAACTGTTGTTGTGGCCGCAGCAGCAGCAGCAGCAGCAGCAGCAGCAGCAGCCATTGTCCTACATAGCCGTCGCAAAATAAAGCAATGGCAAAACTGCCAACGTTTGTGATGACATGTCGCTTTCATTCGGCAGTAGGAACAATGGCTTTCGTGGTGGTGGGTAGTGGTGTACTGGTAATCGTAGTTTTAGTAGCCGTGGAGGCAATAATCATAGTAATAATAATACGTAATAAGAACGATAATAATATTAGTACGTAGATCTGCAATCATCCTTGCAGCTACGCAATTGGTGACATCTAGTGCTACAGGGTCAGGAACGTTTGAAATCCTGCAAGACGGGGTGTCTGGTTGCAGTCAGGCTGGCTGAATTAGAACTTGCCACTGTTTAGGGGCCAGTGTTCAGAAATTAGAACGTATGGAAGGGAGTTCACGCTGGAACCCCAAAGGGGCACAAGGACTTTGAAGGAAGCTGCACGTTGCTCCGAGTTGTCTGAAGTCTGAAGGAAACGGCAACTTTCTCAACATCCTGAGTCTTTATCGGGTGCCCTGACAAAAGGGACAGTAATTTCTTGAACAAACCGGATCTGCAGTGCTGAGGAAAGACGAGATGCGATCATTGCAAAAACATGTAAAAACCCTCTGGCCTGCTGCGATGAAACTTAAACCAAGTTGAAACCCATACATTAATTGCCAGAACGCAATTGCCCCAGTTCACACCAAGCCACTGCTTGGTGGACTGCTCGTAAGGCACGCTCTTCCCAGAGGAGGCCAATTGCTGCCACACGACCCACGTGTAACGCAGTGGCAACACCTCCGGGACGGCTGGATCCTGTAGCAACACTGCTGTCAGGGCAGTGCCTTTAGGGGACACTGAAGAAAGATGCAAATTTCATATTGAATATGACAGGCGGCCATGGCATACCACCGCAACCGCCATACTCAGAAATGGCTTGGCAGGATCATCGGGTGGGCAGTTTGAACCTCACATGCCTTCTGGAATCGGTGCTATGCGCACTACTACTCGGTTCAGGGTGCGGGGCTGTTGGGCTCGATGGGGGAGCCACCTCCCAATCTGCGCATGCCAACCCGGTGCCCCATAATCAGCATTCCCAACATTTCGTGATATAGCATTTTAGATCCAGGAAAAGGCGGCAAGGGTCCGATTAGTTATTATGGAATGCAATTGAACCACAGGATGGAAAGAAATGCCCGGCTTGTGAGACTACGTGAAGCTGCACGGGCCTGGTCTTCCTCGTGCAGGTCTGCAAGATCATCTGGGGGTATCAAAGCAGCGTTGAAACCTTTGAAATCATCAAAATTTGGAGACCTTGCGCATGTGGATTACACATAAATGATGGGAATCACTATGGGGGCCGTATAACAGCAAGCTCGAACGATTCCACCAGGGCAAGGACAATGATCAGCCATTCAATCAACATCTCGGCATGCCACTCTCAGATGCGGACTTAGATGAACCATGCTCAGGGCAAAACACGCACCTTCTAGGGCAGAGGGTACAAATGAGCTGTGATTGGAGTGTTGTGTGGGTTTACGTACATGGCGGGGACGACTTGTAACACGTGCCTGATTACACAAGCTTCCCCAACCAGTTCAGGGCGTGGGTTTCGCTGTTTCTGTGTTATAAAAAGTGAAATGTGTTTGAGCCAAAGGCTTGCTCATTCAGCCAATGTTTGCCAGCGACAACAATGCCCAAACTCTGCAGCATGGCAACACAAGCTCAACGAAGGCAGCTGTTTCACTCAAAGCTTCGGGCGTCTGAAGCCAAACACCATTACCTGGTGATATTTCTGAATGCCAGACAAGGCAAAGGCTTTGCACAAAGCACGCAGCATCCGAAGCATCAGTCAGCAGATGGGTGGATTTGAATGACATAAGGCAAGCCTCAACAACGGACTGGATGCCACACATTGCGTGACCACACAAATGCCCAAGCCCACATAAAAAAAGGAATAATACACACGGAGAATTCCAGGCACACGCCTCCATGCCGGCATCTATGAAACCTGAACCCAGGTCAATGTTGTTGCCACAGGTTTTTGTTGTTGCATGATTGCTAGGAAAATCACATCAAAGGCACGGATATTCTTGCCATCGATGCATGAAGCGCAAGCGCCTCCTACTCTGAGAAAATTTGGAAAATCCCGACTAAGCTTGCACAAGTTGATCCCTTCGGAGGGTTGCCTGGACAGCACATAAAGCCTCATGAACATCGGGCTTGTCTGGGCCTCCTTCGTGATACTACGCATGCAAAAACCCGTCGCATCTACTGTAACTGATGCCGGTCTGCTTCCCTGGGACATTCAACAACCGAACAGGCTGAAACGGCGGTAGTTGGTTTTTTGGTTGCGCCTGTATGCGCCCTCTGGGATTTCAACGCCCCGCTACACCATCGCTTCGAATCGCATCATTCTTTTGTTGGTGTCTTCGCTGTTGGAACCCCTGATGCCAAGACTGATGCAAACTCAAATCGTGGTTCCTTGCTACAAACTTGTAAGTGCAATGATTTAGCAGTGGCTAACACCCTCTTTTGTCACTTGCTTGAGGGTAAAATCACATATCACAATGTTGGCGCGAGCCCTGGCAACCATCTATCTCATTCACACAAATTTTGGACAGATGGATTTAGTCCTGAATTCATGCAGATAGGGACAAACAGTGGAGGACGTGCTCTCCCACAGGCACATTCTTTTGGCCTCGCACCATTTTCTTCTGACAGCTGCTTTATGGATCTGTGTATCCCGAATGGACCGTCACGACGAGTACATGCAAAAATCCGTGGGTTCAACCTGGCATTGTCGCAGCAGCAAGTGGATTATGTGTTTGCAAAAAGGCTTGGATCACAAACGACACTTTAACTATACGTTCTCGCAGACATGAAACTCGTCAGCATGGGAATTTTGAGTATGAACAACAGCTGACAATTTCCATCAAGCGACATGTCAAGATTGATCGAAGAATTTGGTTGGGAGACTTGCTGAATAGCGGAGACTGGGTCCAGATCCGTAAATTATGTACGGGATTTTGCCCTAAGCAAGGCCGCTTGTTGAAGAGTTTGGACCATCGAGCAGAAATACGCAGAACACGTTGATAACGCTCATTGGTCACGGCGAACTGTTACACAACCTTTCACGCAAGAAGGCTTAAATCCAGTCTTGCCCGTACCTTGTGATGGCATGTCACATGCAGAAAAGGTACATGCTGCAACAATTTAATGGCATCAAAAACCGTCTGGACCGGATGGTTTGCCAACGGAATCGTGGAAAACAACTGGCCAATATAGGTCACCCGCTTGTAAATGGGTTTTTTGCTGTGCAACCGCATGTGGAAGCATGCTCATGTGCCCGATGCATGGCACATACTTTTGCATCTGAATCACGTATGGGTTCCACTGACTCAGTATTTGTGGTGCGAGGCTTGATTGAGCTGGCGTGGGAAACGCAGATGAAAAATCATTGGTTTGGCAGTGGATTGGGCGAAGGCTTTTGACAGCGTGGCCTCCAAGAGGCAATAGCACCATGGTATTTCACCAACGCGTCCATTACTGCCTACTCTCAATAAACGCAAGCTGAGAAGACTTGATGCCTTTCAAGCGTGCCCGTGCAAATGTTTACGCATTTCGCTGTTTTTTTTTTCCTTTTTTTTTTTT